ACATAGACCTTTGCAGATTTCATGGAGTCCAAAATGTTTGATTCTGAGTTATTTTAAATTGAAGAACATGCTGGGTTTGTTCAAAYCTAATTTGCATATTGCCCTAGGAAGAAAGAACTGAGAAGCGGTGTCAAACAAATGTGTCATCCAGCACTTGTAGCAAAACTAAATCAAAATAATAACGGAAGTAAACATTTTTTTAAGCTGCATTTGTCAGAGAAATTGTGACAGTGCATTTAATCAATCGATTGTTCAAAACTTTTAAAAATAAGTATGTAAAACTGTGGAAGAAGAAATGTATGGAACAATGGTATTATACGTATGATTTATTGCATTTGATGCAAAACATTCAACCTGTTTCTCAATTTCAGTTTTTCTTCTCCCAACAAACACTKTCCACAACTGTCACCTGTTTAATTTAACACCACGTCCAGGAGGCTATCTTTGCGACTTGGAGGATGATGGTGGAACTTTAGGCTACTGACGCCGGGCAGGTTTGTAATCGTGATGAATGACTCCACAGCAGCTGCTCTGTGATGGAAAAGTAATGAGCAGAGGGAGCCTGCCTTTGCTGCACACTGGTCCCAGTGGCTCCTCAGGTATGATCTTTTCAGTTTCACAGTGAACACCAAGTCACAGATTCCTCACCTCATGAGAAGTGAACAAAATCAGCCAGTGCAAACAGCGACAAATTTTATATCTATTTTGTTTCACTGCATGATTTTGGCTAACTATATTTTTGTTACGTTTATATTCTTTTATTTAATTTTTGATTCTTTACTGCTCAGTCTATGTTTGATCTATCAGAGACATTTACTGCAACCAGAAACAACATCCAACTAGAGAAAAAATGGATTAGCTCGTGTCTGTTTGTGTTTGCTCGTTGGGTTGGCCTTAGAAATATATAAATGGCTGCATCTCAGCCAGATACTGAGTTAAAGTTCGGTGTGGTAGTAGCTGAGAGTCATCCTGAGCACAATCTCACATGAAACCGTGGATATTATCTTTTACTCTTTTTCTTCTTGTGATCTCAGTTTCAAAACAGCAGATTTGCATTCCTTCAGTTATTGCTACACCATTAATTTCACTTTAGGTTTTTTTTTTGTTTGTTTGTTTATTTATTGTTGCTCAGAGTGATTTACAATTTTAGTTATATTGCCATGGTAATTCATCAACAATGAGCTCTCATAAAATTATTTTGCAAACAATATTTGCTCTATTTTAAAGGATGTATTGTATTGTGCAATTTTAAACTTTATTTGCACCAACTAATCCTAAAATATTATTATTACTGCTGATAAACTGTCTTTCCTCCAACACTACTACAATGTTTTGGAGGATGTTATGCCAGTAAGGTGTAACATTACCTTAACTTATCAAATTTGCAAAGCAGGTTCAAACAAAATTTTAGGTTCTTTCTTCATAATCTTTGAAGATTCAGTTCTATTCATTACCACTAAACTGTATTGGTTTTCTATTACTTTTGGTTTTGTTCCTTTTTTGTCAACTAGACTAACTTTACTTTGGATTAGGGTTGGGCAATATTGGCAAAAAAATTAATCACGATTAATTGTGGTATTTAGCCAATAACGATTAATTTGACGATTAACCCCCTGGAGTCCCTGCACACCTTTATGTCCTAGTCACGTGACCAATTTAGTTTGAAAGATTTTCTTTTCATAAAATCTGTTCCAAATTGTGTCAAAATCGCAGACTTCCGGCACATCATTTTTTAAATTGTGTTGATAGATAATTAAATTACAGAACCTTTTTTATGTTTGTCATATTTGAAGCGGGGAGGAGCACCGAGCCGACTCTGTCTGGTTGCATTAATCGTATTAATCGTCAAGTGCCAAAAAATAATCGATTAATGTTTTTCTGACGATTAATCGCACACGATACGATTATGCCCAACCCTACTTTGGATGGATCATAAAATCTTGTTTTTGGACATGATATGTGAACAATAAAAATTCAAAAGTCCAATGCTTGTGTCAAAAATAGCATTATTGTTGTGCTCGGCTGTAGTGGAAATCATTTCAACAAATCACAAACGTGTTATTGCTTTCACAACTGCTTGAAACAGTCCTTAAACCTGATCTCATTCTACAAACTCGCCCCCTCACACACACACACATACACACATTTTATGGTCATTTTTGAGTGAACAAAGAACAATAATTATTGTTTTATTAGAAACGAGAGGAAAGTCATGTCTTCATAGGCCAGCAGAGGGCGCAGTGGTGTCTGCTGGGTCCATAGCCTTTGTTGCTGCACGAGGTCAAAACAGCTATACAAAATAAATGAGAAACATGTGCTCTTTACTGCATTATTAGATTTAAAGTGAGCTGAACAAAGCAGATTGCATTCTTTTGTTGATCTCAGTAATTAYATATTTTTTTCATGATAGTATACTTTTGTCATAGAATCTACTTTATGCGCTTATTTTTGTGCAGTACAAAGTCATTTTCAAAACTAAAGGTGCATGGTTTCATGATGACACTGAATTTCTTCTAATTCATGATGTAAAACAAAGGAGTGAACAGTAGGCCAGAGTGTAATGCAACATCTTATAGGTCAGCGCTAACCGAATGGTAAAACATGAACAGCTACAATACATTAATTGCAAGACAGCACATTTCAAAGTGGCCGTTAACTACCTGAGGTCAATGTCATCCTGTCTAATTAACTGGGCAGCATTTGTGTGGTCCTGTGTGCTCGTGGAAGGTGGAGAGTGCAGCCCACCCCACCACCCTTTCCCTCGCCTTTTCCTTCCTCTCGTTCACAGGCACGCACYCGCTGTCTGAGTTCTTGCATAGACCACTGTGAGACATTCCATTTGCATGCCCGCCCCATCAAGCTGGATGCACTCAGACTGGTAATAAAAGGCATTGACCCCCTTAACCTTTATGAATTACAATTTGTGCCTGCGGCACGTCCTGTCAGAGGCCTCAGAAAAGCAGGCACCTCAGCCGGGGTGTGTGCGTGTTGTTTTGCAGTTGTTAAGGAGAGGGGAAAAGGTTTTTACAGCTTCTCGTCGGAGCTTCTGACAAGCAGCGAGGAGGCGGTCTGACAGCACAAGCAGATAGGGAGGGACTGCGATGCTGTTGATGGCTCCATGCTAATCTCCATTGCTGGRTGCTGCACAAAACGGAAGAGGTTTCCTTCATTTTCACGACTGTAGGATTTTGGAACGGTTTTGATTAGACTTTTTAATCATCTGTAACTAAATGAACCTTTCTGAGGGTGTGAGAGGACGATAAGCCAGAAATGAGACCTGACCACTTGTTGATTTGAGATGATCATTCAGTAAATATCAGCTTATCATCTSTAAGTGACTGACAGTAAATGTATCTTTCAGTCCAAATGCATAGGGGAAAAATCTGTTTAATTKCTAACATATCACTTAAATTAATGTTGTCTATAGTGAAAATGTGAATTTTAGACAGTAAAATCCATTTACTTTATAATAGTTTGGTCCACTGTCTACAACAACCCTTTACAGCTTTCAGTGTATTTCTGTTAATTTGAGGACGTGCAGCACCTGTACACTGCTGTTCAAAACACATCAGATTTGTTTCTTTATTTCTACAGATTAGGAAGAAGGATGCAGTTTTGTTTTTGTTTCATCGCTCCGTATTTGTCAAAAGGCATCCATGTTTCCCACACGTATGCAGAGGCAGAAGATATGAAATCATCGTGAAACATTTTCTTTTTAGTCAGTTTTCAAGCTTTTTTGGTTTTTAAAAATAATCAACAAATAYGTTTTTGTACTTGTCTGCATTTTCTGATAAATTATAAAGCAGTAAGAACATAGTGGCTTATCAGATCCAAACAGAAGGTCTGTGTTTGAAATTTCCAAAACTTCATTTTTTTACTTTGACACATTGCACAGTTTTGCTAAGTACTTTGGGGGTACTTTGTTTGGTTTTCTTTGTAATATACATTATTTTTTTTGGTTATTTAATTCTGATTTTGCTTTTTATTTTTTATTATGGGCAATATGGTGGCTCAATTGATAAAGCTGATGCCTCTCAGCAAGAAGGTCACTGGATCGAATCTCAGCCCGGGAACCTTTCTAGGTAGAGTTTGCATGTTCTCTACATGCATGCGTGGGTTTTCCCCAGGTACTCCGGCTTCCTCCCACAGATCAGAAACACGACTGTTAGGTTAATTGATAACTCTTAATTGTCTCTATGTGCAACCCTGTGATGGACTTGCGACCTGTCCAGGGTGTACCCCGCCCCTCGTACTGTCACTGCTGGATATGGGCACCAGTGACCCCCGTGACCCTGAAACGAGGAAGTGGGTATAGATCATGACGGATGGATTTTATTTTTCATTTCCATGAGATTCCTTCAATAGTTCATTTTCCAGTTCTTCACCACCTGTCTTCCATTCACCACACCTGTTGACTATTATCATTTCTTCTCTTTTTCCTGAC